GGGCTAGCCCGGGAGCTGGGGCTAGCCCGGGAGAAGGGGCTAGCCCAGGAGAAGGGGCTAGCCTGGGAGCTGGGGCTATCCTGGGAGAAGGGGCTAGCCTGGGAGATAGCACTTCCCTACTCTATTCCCAGCTATGCCACTGATGGACTGGGTATCCTTAGGCAAGTCATCCCCCCACCCCGCCTCCCCCGTAGGCCTCATTGGTTCCTGTACTTCCATACATGAAGTTTGGCCAATGAGTCTAATCTACTTTGAGCGCTCATACATACAAGACTCTTCCTTTTATGAAAATGGAGGTTGAACCATCTTTCCATTCCATATTCGCGTGCCTGCTTTTATGTGCTGAGCTTAGTACTTAGGGGGATACAATGATGAGTAAGACCAGCTCATAGGTCCATTTCAAATGCCACCTTCTCCATGAAACCCTCCATGATTCAGATTTGGAGACCATCAGGATCACGGACTGCAATCCGTGCCTACCTTGTTCTTTCTCTCCCTCCCTCCTTTTTTCCTTCCTTCCTCCCTCTCTTTGTTTCTTTCTTTCCTTCCTTTCCTTCTTTCTTTCTTTTTCTTTCTTCCTTCCCCTCTCTCTTTCTTTCTCCTTTCCTTCTTTCCTTTCTCTCCCTCTCCTTCTTCCTTCCTTCCTTCCTCTCTCTTTCTCTCTCTCTCTTTCTTTCTCTCTCTCTCTCTCTTTCTTTCTTTCTTTCTTTCTTTCTTTCTTTCTTTCTTTCTTTCTTTCTTTCTCTGCCTTCCTTCCTTCCCTCTTTCCTCCCTGGAAAGTGCCATAGGGATCAGTGCTTGGGTGTTTGGCTCTATTCTGTCTAACATGCTAGTCAATGACTTGGCCACAGGCACACATACCAAATAAATCTGTGGGTGGCCCATAGCTGGGAGGGATCACTAACACTGGAAGCCAATCAGGATCTTGACTGGCTGTAATGTTGGGGCAGCTAGGTGGCATCACAGTGCCTAGAGTGCCAGGCCTGGAATCAAGAGGACCTGAGTTCAAATGCAGCCTCAGATGCTTAATAGCTGTGTGACCCTGGGCAAGTCACTTAACCTCTGCCTCAGTTTCCTCATCTGTAAAATGAAGATAGTAACAGTACCTACCTCCCAGGGGTGTGGTAAGGGGCAAATGAGATAATATTTGTAAAGCAAAGAGTCTGGCACCTAGCAGGCACTTAAGAAATACCAACTTCCTTCCTTCCTTCTCTGTAACTCAGAGTTGCTCAGATCACTGAGAGGTTCTGTGACTTGCGCAAGGTCATATAGCCAGTAGGTATCAGGGCAAGCCTTGAACCCAGCTCTCCCTTACCCCGAAGCCAGCTTTCTGTCCACTCTGCTGCACTTAAAATACTAACAAGTTGAGGAAAGGCCTCAAGTAGCAGGAGGCAACTGAGCTGTGCTTTGAAGGAGAAGTCTAAAAGACAGAGGTGAAGAAGGAAGGCTTGCCAGGCGTGCGAAACCGCCTGGACAAAGGCAGGGAGGCAGGAGATGCCTTTTGACTGGAATGGGGAGAAATGCAATGAGGCTGGAAAGGCAGGCGGGAGCCACATTGTGGAAGGTTTTAAATACCAGGCCAACGAGATGGTAGTGGATCGTGGGGCAGCAGGGAGCCAGCAAAGGCTTTTGAGGAGGGGAGCTCTGTGCTATGGGAATGTCTCTTTGACAGCTGGGTGGAGTCTGGGCTGGAGAAGAGAAGCACCAGGGAAACTGATTTCTAGAAGGTTTGCTGTGTCCAGAGACCAGGAGAGCCTTGTGCCCCGAGGCAGGACCTTTGCAGTGCCTGCTGGCCATGCCCAGTGAGTCTTTGGCCGCTCTGGGTAAAAATAGCCTGCCTGCTGAAATATTCATGGAGCCTCCGGGTGGGGGCTCTCCTGGGCCCTCAGGGATCCTGCCAATCTCTTCCTTTTCAGGGCTACGATGGGAACTTCCCGCAGGAAGAAGCCTTCGGCTCAGACCAGAAGGGTGAGCTCCCCCATCGTCTCCTGCCCCGGTGCCCAGCCTGGGTCCCTGGTGCCATCACAGGCCCAGTTGACCGGCCTGGCGTGTTCACGCTGCCCGTCTGCTCCACCCCAGAAGAAAGCTGCATTATAGATGTGGTGTTGGGGAGGGCAGAGCCCCGCCTCAGCCATGCCAGCCTCAGCCTCTCCATAGCCCTGTTCCCTTTTCCTTCCCTACCCTGAGAAATACCTTTGGCAGCTCTTGGAATAGACATCCCAAGGCTAAGGTCTGATGACTGGGGAGCAGAAGAAGCCGATGGAGTCGGGGAGGGCAAAGCAGGGTCAACAACATTGTCTGGCTGCGGGAGGCAAAAGAACATGGGGTCTAAATGCAAAAGACCCGAGTTCAAATTCTAACTTGACCCCTCCCTACCAGCATGACTTTGGACAAGTCCCTTCAATTCAGCTAAACACTACAAGCATTTATTAAGTACCTACTATGTGCTAGGTTCTGGGAGTAAAAAGACAAAAAGGAAAAAATCCCTGCCCTCGACAAGCTTGCGTTCTACTGGGCCTTAGTTTCCCTCTCTGTACAGCGAGGAGTCTGAGGCTCCTTGGTGGACTAACCTATGGCCCTGTGGGATTGGCATTGTAAGGGATGGAGGAGGACACTGAGGGTCATAGGGGACCCCTCTCCCAGGGAGCCTCTGTTCCCAGAGTCCCTTTGGACAATCAGAGCTATGCGATCGAGGCAGACTGGGGAGGAGGGAGTGGGCAGCAGAGAGTCCAGGGACCACTCATCCCTGCCCTCCAGGAGTCCACAGATTAGCTGGGAAGAAGCCGCCTCCCCCGGCCAGTCTCTGACCACCCCTCAGCCCCATCCCAGGTAGGGAGGAGAAAGGCGAGGTCCTCCGGAACAAAGGTCCCTGGGGGCCAGCCCCAGAGGATGACGATGAAGGGGACATCCGTGTCCCTTTCCACGACTCATACCTTCCCTCCCCTTCTCCCGTGCCCCTTTCCCAGCTCGGCGCCCACGTCCTCTTATTCAGCACAGCCACCTTTTCAACCCATCGCTTGGCTCAGAGAAAGGCCGAGCCGCCCCAGCCCAGTAGAGGGGGACAGGTGCCTGACGCAGGCCAGGCCAGGCCGGAGCCGATCCCCGCGTGAGGATTTGGCCCGAAGCAGGCAGCTCACGGGGTGCTCGGTGCCAGTCCCGCGGGCTGGAAAGAGTTAATTGGCAGCCATGGTTCACTGCTTCTCCTTTCTGGGGTGAGGCCAGAGATTCTGCACGTCCTCTATATTTCCAGCAACTGGAAAGAAAACTTTGGCAAACAGCCTTGCGTTTGTCGGGGGCCCTCGTTTCAGAAGGCAGTCCAGGGCGAGGCCTTATCCCTGAGCCTCAGTTCGTCCATCCGTCCAAAGGAGGAGGCCTCTCCCCGCTTTGACTTCCTGGGCCCTAAGGGCCTACCGTGGGACCAGAAGGGGCGTGAGGGGACGCCTACTTCAGCCCCCTCACCTCATCTATGTTAGGGCTACGAGATTCTGGCACCCGTGCTCAGAGCGTCGCAGAGTCAGAAGGGACCTCGGCAGCATCTGCTCCGACCCCAACGTGAAAAAGCTGCCACCCCCAATCCCCAGGGCAGCCACAGCATCCCTCCGGAGTCAGGGTCCTGGAAGAGTTCAGCCTTGCTCTCACTTTGGGCTGACTTGAAAAAGATAAAATTTAATAGGACTGTAAGTCGTCTTTTTGCTGTTGTTCAGCCATTTTCAATCGTGTCCAACTCTCTGTGATCCCATTTGGGGTTTTCTTGGCAGAGATACGGGAGAGGTTTGCCATTTCCTTCTCCAGCTCATTTTACAGATGAGGAAACTGAGGTAGGCAGGGTGAAGTGACTTGCCCAGGATCACACAGCTAGGAAATGTCTGAGGCCAGATTTGAACTCGGGAAGATGAGTCTGCCTGACTCCGAGCCCAGCAAGTCAAGTTCCCAAGAACAAGATGGGTATAATATGGCAGGAGGAAGGAAGTGTCACAAAGATCTGTTGCTCTTAGTGGACCAGAAGCGCTATGGGTGTCAACAACCTGATAGCACTTTGATTTTAGGCTTCAGTGAGAGCAGGACGTAGCATCCACCGTGGGAGAGGCAACACTGCCCAGGTAGGCTGTCCGGGTCACACCACGCTCGCGGTCCAGATCTAGGTAGCACATTTAGGAAGGACGTGGACAGAGAAGCTGGAGGACCAGTGGAGGAAGGCGGCCAGGATGGCAAGATGATGTCTTAGGAGGACAGGTTAAAGAAACGGGGAGTGGTTAGCACGAGGAAGAGGAGACTTGGGGAGGACTCAGACCTCCAGGAAAATGTAAACTCTTTTCTTGTCTTTTCATCCCCAGTGCTTCCAGCACCCGGAACATAGTAGGAGCTTAATAAATGCTCGTTGGTTGATTGGGTGGGGGTGCCTACTTGTTTGGGTTCAGTGGCCCTGGAGATTGCTGTTCCTGGCACGGCCCGCTGCGTTCTCCTCCCCCTCTGTTCACAGCTGAATTTGTGGGCTTGATTTGAGGATGACAGGAAGGCACTGCCCCACCCCAGATATCTCCCTTCCCGGACAGGACAGGCCGGGGCCTGACAACCCCACCCTCTCACCAAGCCCCAGGCCCCAGCAGGCAGATGACAGCCCCCTGACCCCTGGCAGACCTCTTTCACCTGCCAGCCCCCCCTCCCCAGACTACCAGACTCAGCGTCTGGTAGTCTGGGGTGGAACCGGCAGCTGGAGATGAAGGCCAAAGATGTATCCAAGGCAAACTGCTTAGCTTTGGGGAATTTCTGTGGGTGTAAGGAGATGCATTTCTCCAAACAGTCACCCTATCGCTAGCCCAGAGTCTGGTCCAGGCCAAGCACTCGACCCATGTTTGTGGAATTAGATCTTCTAAGAGCAAGAATCACAGGAAGAAAGAGACTGGCCCGGGGCCACCCTGAGCTCTCAGGTTGGCTGCTCATATACCCCGGGCAGCTCAGGTCAGCCCTGGTAATATTAGCTCTGTTTGTTCTCTGCACTTAAACCTCGGCGGATCGGGTTTTGGGTGGGTCGGTCACGAGGAGCTCAAATGGAAAGAGACCCAAATGTTAACTTTCTCTGTAGACAGCAAAGTTAGGGCCAGATGAGTGGTGGGAAGTCGAGCCCCAGAGCTGACCAGAGATCAGCTCCTCAGTCCGGCCGAGCCCAGACAGCTTCCGTATCTTCCCCTTCCCTTTCCACCGCCAACCTCCCAGAACAGGTGAAACACGTCTCTTATTTCTCTTTTGATCAGAACTGGCCTGGAGAACCTGCCTCAGAAGAGGAAGAGACTGAGGACTTTGACACTGCTTTCCTCAAGGAACGTGGTAAGTCCCCAGAAATCTTTTTCTTTGGATGAGAGCGACAGGGTCAAGGAGCAGAAGACATGGTTCTCCAAAGAAGAAATATAAACCATCAACAACCGCATGAAAGATGGCTCAGACTAAGGGGGACGTACACTGAGGTATACTCTGAGGTTTCAACTCACACCCCTAGATTAGCAAGAGTGGAGGGCTAAGGAAGAACCTCAGAGACCATCTAATACAACCTCCTCATTTTCCAGCTTTGGACACTAAGGCCAAAAATTGTTAATCACTGTTACCAAGTCACCCTGGTGGTAAGTGCCAGCGGTGGGATTTGAACCCCCGACTATAGAATCTGCACTCTTAAGTGGAAATAAATCGGTATTGGCGGGGCAATGGCAAAACCGGCACACTAATAGGCTAATGGCAAATTGGAGCGATGGACTGGTCCCAACATTCTGGAACATACTTTAGAATTACGCGAGAAAAGCCATGAACCGGCCATGCCGTTCAGTCCAGCAATCACCACAACAGGCATTTACAACAAAATGTTCAGAGTAGTGCTTTTTGTGATAGCAAAAAGCTGGGGTCAAAGAGGGCGCCCATCAATGAGAGACTGGCTGAACGAGTCCTGGCACACAAATACCACAGGATATGATCATTGCCCCACAAGAAATGAGGAGTGCGAGGAGCTCGGGGAATCATGGGAAGACTTGTTCGAACTGGTGGGGGGCAAAGAGATAAGGAGGTCTACAGGTGGTCCCAATAAAGTCAGTGAAGACAACACCCACACACCCCCCAGCTCAAAGGAGTTGTGGTGACTAATCTCGTCCCAGAAAAAACAAAGAGAAAATGCCTCTCTCTTTTCGGTAGAAGCAGGGGATTATGGGCATATATACTACTGTACATTGTGACAGACACAGTTGTTAGGTTTTGCCCACATTCTTCTGTAGCGAGGGAAGATTGATTGGGGGCTAGTATATTGGGAGATGATTCTGATGGTTACAAAAAGGCATAAAAATCCAAGTTATTAGTTGTATGTGTGTGTGTGGGGGGGGTAGACCAGTATGAGCACCGATCCTACCTGAAGGGGCTAAGGGAGCCTAACCCACCTTTCTACCCATGATATGATGCTGCTGCTGCCTTCAGGGTGGGCTGTTCTATTTCCCTGCTCGGTCAGAGTTCATATTTCTTTCTTTTTTTTGGCTAGGCAATGGGGTTAAGTGACTTGCCCAGGGTCACACAACTAGTAAGTGTCAAGTGTCTGAGGTCAGTTTTGAACTCAGGTCCTCCTGACTCCAGGGCCGGTGCTCTGTCCACTGCGCCACCTAGCTGACCCCAAGAGTTGATGTTTCTTCACTTCCTGCCCATTGCTGGGGGGTGGGTCACTTTCAAAGCCCCCCTGAGGGGCTGCTATCTGAGCTTGAGGACCTGCCATCCCAGACTGAGACGCAGCTCAGGCTGAAGTTTTTGTGGAGATGCCCTGCCTGGGAGTCTGTGTTTGAACAAACACCCATGTCCTTGGAACACGGCCCCACCAGCCTTCTGGGTCAGCTCGGTGCCCTGAGCCCACAGTTCTGGCTCGGAAGGACACCCAGACGAGCTGAGCTCGGGGGGGGGGGGGGCGGGGCCTGCTTTCTCTTTGCCCAGCACAGTATCCCCTGGAACCAACGGCTTCTCTTTGAACGTCTTTGCTTCAGGTGCCTTGGCAGGGTCGGGGTCTAGCCTGGGAGACCCCAAGGGACACCCTCCACAGACGAGCGGCCTGTCTTCTCCCGAGGGGCCCCCCAAGCCAAAACCTGCTGGATTTTGGGGCTTTCTAAGGTAAGGAAGGGCTTCTCTCTTGTTTTGACTTGAGACCCCATCGAATGATCCCTCCCACTAAAATGAGAGTCATAAGAGCAAATCCCCGCCCCCAACTCGAGAGCCTTCTATGCTATGTAAAAGGCAAGAGGATTGAAAGTCTCAGGATAATCTCCCTGAGGTAGCTGAGATTCCATCACATCACTCTCTTGCTCAAAGACCTTCAATATCTGCCCATTGCCAACCAAAGAAGGCCTGAAGTTTGTCCATGACTGTCCGGAGCCTGCCCTCCCCTTATCTCATGCTGACACATCGTCTTTGTGTCCACCAGACTGGGGGACCCACCATTCCTTCTACCCTTCTTGTGTCCAGACCTCTGCTCCTCTCATCCGCTGGGTCTAGAATGTACTCTCCTCCATTGGGTTTTCTGAGTCCTTACGTTCCTTCAAGGCCCAATGCAGTTGCTACCTCCTCCAGGAAGCCCCCACCAAAACTTCGCTCCCTCTCTCCCCACCTAGGGAAACCTATCTCCCCCTCCCCAGATGTCTTCCAGCCTTTGCCTGGATCCTCCTGCACCCTGACCCCATTCTCCTATATTTGTATACATCTGTCCCTGATATTAGACTGTAAGTTCCCTGAAGGCAGGGTCTGTATCTGTATCCCCATTACCTAGGGTCTTTAAAATACCCACGTCCCCAAAGGCTTAACATAGTTTTAAGCTTATAAAGCTACATTAGTTGGAAGGATAAATGAGTGTTGGATTTCGGGTCCAAGGACCTGGATCCGAATGTCACCCTGCCTCGTACTAGCTGTGTGATATTGACCAAGTCACATTTCACTCCTCAGTTGCAGCACTGAGGGAATTGCATGTGAAGGCCTGTGAGGGCCTTTTCAGCTCTCAACCCATCATCCTTTGTGTGAATGATCGAGGGCTGTTCCCTTTCATGGGTCCCCCAGACGGGAAGACTCCTTCCAGCAGAGAGGGCCCCTTCTCCATAACTTACGGAGTCTTAGTTACTCGTACGTGAGGTGCCTGGCCCTGGCTCGCAGAACTGGTCCGTGCATGTCAGTGATGTGCCTTGACTTCTGCGGCCTGCTCTCTCCCTACCAAGCCACACTGCCCCTCCATGAGTGAATGACAGACTGCATGTGGGCCACCCTGACCACCGGACGCCAAGTCCTTTCCAACCTCTCTTCTGTGCCTAAGTAGGGGGCTTCAGAGGCCTCACTGACAGGAGCGTGGGGGGAATGGGCCTTCTTGGGAACCCTGCAGGTTGTACCGGGAAGAGTGCTGCATTTGGAGTCGGAAGGCCTGGATTCGAATCCTGACTCTGCCCCTTCCTGACCTGACCCCCGTGGACCTTGGCTCCCTCATCTATAAAAGGAGGCATTGCACACGGATGACCTCGCAGGGCCCATGTCCTACTTCCCAGGTCCAGGGAGCCGCAGGCTCCAATGCGTTTCTCTCTGCTCTGCCTTCCAGCTCCCTCCTCCCATTCCGGCTCTTCGGCTGGAGGGGCCACCAGTGAGCCTGGCAGAGGACCGCAGCAGAGGGAGAGACTGCCTGGTCCCGAGTGACCCTCGGCCGGCCAGAGAGGCGTCCACAGAGGCCAGGAAGGCCCAGGCCCGGCCAGGGCTCTTCTTTGTTCCTGTGTCAGCGGCTGGGGGGAAAATGAAGGTGTTTCTTCCATTCTGGTGGTCCTTTTTTTACTGCCCTGAGAAGCGGTTTGCGTCTCCCGTCTCCAGCACTTAGGTCCTAACAACAAATTATTTATGAAGAATTATCGATTAGTGGAGTGAAGGAAAGGAAGTGGGGGGGACGCCCCCCTCCTCTTGGCGCAAAGGGATTTACTGGGGGAAAGCCCCCCAGGTCAGCTCCAGCTTGCTGGCAGAATTCAGGGCAGGCTCCCAAGTCTCAGCCTTCTTCCTAGGGGCTTCCGGAGCGGCTCTCTGCCCTGAGCCCATCCTTGTAATTTTCGTATTTGGCCCAGGCCTGTGATTTCATCTGGGTGGGCAATGGAACTCCTGGCGTGGGGAACTCCTTCCCCTGTTGCCAACACCAGCTCGTCCACAACAGAGGGTCCTAGAGCATGGTCTGGGACATTCAGAACTAAAGTGACTTGCCCGGGATGACAGATACTATGTATCCAGAGGCAGACTGGAACCCAGGTCCTTCTGTCTCCACCTTCTGTGCCTTCCTGGCTCTTAGGAGCCCTGGCCTTCCCTTGGGAAACCCCTCCCTGCTGCAGGTCACCCAGCTCGTCCTCTGGGTCTGACCACCCAGCAGCCTGTCTCCTCTGTTCGTCTGTCCCTTCCCAGGACTGTCCCCTACAGTCTGCCCAACAGCCTTCCCCTTCCCCCTAGTCAAGCCCAGTCACCCTTGGGCTCAAGCCTCACCTCTGCCCCTTCAATACCTGTGTCCACTGGGCAAAGGCCTTTTCTTCTATGGGCCTCAGTTTCCTCCTCTGTAGGCAGAGGGCATGGGTGTGAGTCCCGATTCTGCCACCTGGTACCCGTGGGAACACTAACTCACACATTTCCCCTCTCTGCGCCTCAGTTCCCCGCCCTGTAAAATGGAGAGATGAATGCTTGCCCGTGGGGTGCCAGGGCTACCGCCCAGAAGGGGCTGGGTAAACCTTGGGTGGGTGGAGGAGGAGGCACTGTCACTTTCCCACGGGAGTCGGGGTCTCCTCTCCAGGCCCCTCTTTGGCTGGGCTGTGGTACTGGGGGCGTGGTGCTCGAAGGGCACGGGACCCTGAGGAAGAGAAAGCCTTGAGCACCTTAGGGCCCAGGCTGGATGGGAAGCACTTAGTGGGCCAGGTCTTCGCTCCTCTTCCCACCATGCCCCCCTGCCCCTCCACGAGTGAATGACAGGCTGCATGTGGGCCACCCTGACCGCGGGACGCTCCTCTTCAGCTCTTGGTGCCCCTGTCCTGGTCCCTCGGTGAGAGAGACAAGCAGGAACATTTCTGGCTCAGAGCAGGCAAGAAAGGTCTGTCCTTCAACCACGCATGTCACTGATGATCGCCCAGACTCGCAGGAGGCCCCTTAGAATGCTCTGTTTAGAGCCAGAGGACCTCTCACAGGTCATATCCCCTCCCTGCGCCTCAGTTTCCCCCTCCATAAAATGAGGGGTCAGGCTGGACAGCTGCTCAGGTGGCTTCGGGCTCCAGATCTGAGATCCCGTGCTCTTCCCACTCTGACTCAGAAGGCTTAACACTGCTCCCTCCCTCCTCCCACTCCCACCCCCAGCTCCACTCGGGGGATCTAAGCTTGGGATTGCACTCAGCCAACTACCCCCACCTTTCCTGGGCCCACAGAGCTCCCCAGGATGCTTCCCACCTTGATCCATCTGCTTAGCGAGGAGAGGGCTCCAGAACCCCACTGCCCAGACTCCAGGACTCCCTCATGGCCGGGGTGGGCCCCAGTGCAAGGGACACAGGAGCCCCTCTCGGGTGGGAGTTCCCCAGAGGCTTCCGGGGGAGAAGGGGGTGGGGGTGGTGAAAGCTGATCTCTACTCCAGGGTGTGGCCCCAAAGCCAGGAAGGGATAAAAGCAAGAGAGCACAGCCCCATTCCAGAGACCGAGGGAGGAAGGGTCGAGGCATCAGCAGCCCCCACCTGGCATCTGCGACACCAAAGTGGTGAGAGCGCCCTGGCAGGACAGAGCTGGGCCCGGGCCCTGGGGCACCGAGCAGGGGCAAGGAGGGCTGGGGAACAGCCAAGGGAAACCATAGGCAGGCCTGGGGCACACACAGAGCCCCGGCCAGCCAGCCCCTCCGTCCAGAGAGAAGCCCAAGTGGGTGAGCGCCACAGCACACACATGCACATACGTGTACACACACACACATACACATGCATGCACACACATACGTGTATACACACACACGCACACACACCCTGCCCATGCTGTTTCAGAAATCCATGACATGGCACTCCCCAAGACCTTGCTCTTTTCCCTGTTGCTCCTGGTGGCGACAGACACCTTGGCTCAGGAGGCCAGGGTCCCAGGCTGCTACCTGCACCGTGAGTAACTGTGGGAAGTGACTGGTCCGAGGCCACCGTGTCCTGGGGGCAGGATGCATGGGAAGCTGGGCTGGGGGGGCAGGGGGGGACTAGCCCCAGGGTGGGGGTCTCAGCCTCGGAGCCCCCTGCCCATCCTTTCAGCCATCAACGTGACTGTGCGGAGTGACCGCCAGGGCACCTGCCGGGGCTCCCACATAGCTCATGCCTGCGTGGGCTACTGCGAATCCAGCGCTTTCCCTTCCCGGCACTCAGTGCGGGCAGCCAGCGGTTACCAGCACAACATCACCTCGGTTTCCCAGTGCTGTACCATCAGCCGCCTGAGGAAGGTCAGGAGCTGAGAGGTGGGGGGGGGGGGGGGTGCTGTAGAGACAGCTGGGCAGCCTGAAGAGCCCTGGGGTCCTCTCTCCCTGCATCTGGCCCCTACCTGCCCAGGTGAAGGTGGAGCTGCTGTGCCCCAGGAGCCGGCGGGAGCAGCTGGAGATCTTCACGGCACAGGCCTGTCAGTGCGACATGTGCCGCCTGTCCCGCTACTGAGGGGTCCTCGAGCCTTCCTTCCTGGCGGGCCGCCGCTCATCCCCCCCCCAACCTGGTCCCGGATGGAGGGACAGTCAGGACATCTGGGTTCTGAGTCCCTGGCTCTGCTGATGAATTCCATGGGCGATTTTCAGGAAGTCGATTCCCCTCCTGGTTCCCTTTCCCACCAAGGCCCTCCCAGCTCTGACTGTCCACATTCATCTCTACCCTTCTCTGTCCTCTGGTCCCCCTAAGCTCCTGGCCCCTGGCCTGCCTGGGCATCAGGCTTCGTGCTCTCTGACATGGGGGGAACCCCCAAATAAAGTGACCAGCTCTGCAGTTTCTCTCTTTATTCAGTCCACCCCCAAGAGTGGGAAGAGGGGAGCAGATCACGATTCGTGTAGGAACCCCCCATCCCCAGGACCTTGGGAGCCCCCTCTCCCCTGCCCCCTCCCCTATCCACTCCCTGCCCAATAAATAAAAAGGGGAAGAAGTTTTGCAGGGGGAGGGCGTGCCCCAAGACTGAGGCTGGGGGAAGGGCAATAAATATATCCTGGAGTCCATGGGGTGGGCAGGGAGAGAGGGAAGGCCCTCGCGCTGGCACGAGGTGCTCCCAGGGTCCTGGGGAGGGCTCCAGGGTCTTTTGGGATGAGGTGGGAGGGGAGAATGAGGCCCCTGAAGCTACCGGAGCCCAGCCTGAGGGGGTGCCAACTCCTTGCTGACAGTTCCTGGGGGCCCTTGGCCCATCAAGTCCATTTGGGATGGCTGGAGGACTGCCCCGCTAGATGCCCCATCTCCTCCCCTCTCCCCCCAGGTCTGGCCAGGGTGGTCAGGTGGGGGGCCCTGCCTTACACTCCGGCATGGCCCCCGGGGGCAGGCTGGGGGTTAGGGAGCAGTGGAGCTGGGATGAATGGTTCGACTGCCTCTGTGTGTGTGGTATATGTGGCGGGGGTGGGGGTCCCTCTAGCTCTGCTCCCCTCCCGGGGCTGGCCTGGCCCCAAGCCGGTGGAGCAAAGTTTCATCGGCTTCCTGCAGCCTCCGCAGCCGGAGCTCCTCCAGGCCTTTCCACAGCTCCTGCCGCTCCCGGGCCCTCTGCTGCTCCCTGGGCAGGAGGGACGGAGGCCATGGAGAGAGAGAGGGAGGAGGGGTTAATGAGGCTGCAGGATCTGGGTCAGTCCAGGCAAGGGCCCAGGCAGGAGCCCCAGCCCCAGCCCAGCCCACCCCCACCCCCACCACTCACTGCTGCTTCTCCAGTTTGTAGGAAGCCGTGAGTTCATCAAACAGCTTCCCGTTCATCTCCATGAAGGTTTTAAGCACGTTGTAGATGAGAGACACAATGGTCCTGGGGGTGGGAGACAGGGAGAAGAGATGAGGCTGGAGAGATGGGGGATGCAGGTCCAGGTCTGGGAGGAGAGGATGGGACATAGAGGAGATGGCGGGGCTTCCTGAGGGCATCTGGGGCCCAAAGAAGAGTCAGCAAGTATTTACCGAGAGTGGCCTGTGCGCCAGGCACCGGGGGGGACCTAAGAAGCCAGCTCATCCCACCGCCACCATCCAGCATCCCTGACAAGTCCTGGCCTAGAGGCTCCCCCCAGCAAGATGGAACCCAACCCACTGCCTAGAAGCCTCCCCCCAGCAAGATGGAACTAATCCCACTGCCTAGAAGCCTCCCCCCAGCAACATGGAACCCATCCCACTGCCTAGAAGCCTCCCCTCAGCAAGATGGAACCCATCCCACTGCCTGGAGGTCTCCCCTCAACAAGATGGAACCCATCCCACTGCCTGGAGGTCTCCCACCCAGCAAGATGGAACCCATCCCACTGCCTGGAGGTCTCCCCCCAGCAAGATGGAACCTATCCCACTGCCTAGAAGCCTCCCCCCAGCAAGATGGAACCCATCCCACTGCCTGGAGGCCTCCACTCAACAAGACGGAACCCATCCCACTGCCTAGAAGCCTCCCCCCAGCAAGATGGAACCCATCCCACTGCCTGGAGGTCTCCCCCCAGCAAGAT